CACGAAATGGAAATTAGAAATGACGGCGCCTATATATAGGTTGACGACGTAACAAATGGGCTGTAACTTTGGTTGTAACATTTTTTTAAAATTGCCGCATTTCCTGTAGAAGAAAATGCGGGAAATTATACCGCTTTTTTGAATGATCCAAAAAGCGGGTATTGGAGAGCAGTCTGTCTGGATCGGCAGAAAACCGCAAGTTTATTGTTGACAGTGACGGCTGGAGAGTTCTGCTCAGGACGTGCTTGTCTTCTTCATCATGACTGAAATGAAGAGGTTGCCGAGTACCTACGTGGTCAAGAGAGGTATGAAATTTTAAAGTTGCGTGAGGTTCATTCGTTTGCCGTCCCCTGATATGCTCATTAAGCGCGGATAAATCTGTTAGGCTTGCAAATCATGTAATTGCAGATGGTAGCAAAGAAGGTGTACATTTTGATAAGATTTCGCACCATATCGAGAAGCTGTGCTACGGTCTTGATCCGAACTATGTGGATCACGTAAGTTTCGGTTTCTTATTTGGATGTTGCTTGAATTTTTTTATCCACAGTGAACGGAGCTGTCTAGGGTCCTGAGGGTTTGTTGTGGAGTCAGGAATTTGTTCAGCGTTTTCATGGGATCTTAGAATTCAAGGTTTTAAAACTGTTCAATGGTGGTCTGAGAGTTACAGAAGGTTTTTGCTTTCTACTGAGAAACTTTCTAGATAGAGGTTGCAAAAAAAGTCATTGCTGGTCTTTATCCTGGTGTTACGACGGTAGAACTTAACAACTTGGCTGCGGAGACAGCTGCAGACATGACTGTGAAACATCCAGACTATGCAATTTTGGCTGCTAGGATAGCTATTTCAAATCTTCATAAAAAAACAAAAAAGGTCAGGTTTTTTGTATTATTGATTACTCCTTCAAAGGCGATTTGCTTAGTAAATGAAGGCCGATTTTTTATAATTCTTGTGTACTGTTTTAATTTAGGTGTTTTCTGAAGTTATCAGCGACCTGTATCATGCCACTCATATGAAGACTAAAGTGCATGTTCCTTTGGTCAGTAAGCAGGTGTACGAAGTTGTGAAAGCTAACGCTACTGTCAGTATTTTCGTTACTGTTTGGGTCATTTTGTTGATTATGGAGGTTCTTTAATGGAGAGTTACCTTTTAGAAGCTGGATGCCGCTATTCAACATCATCGGGACTTTTCTTACACCTACTTCGGTTTCAAAACGCTAGAGCGGTCTTACTTATTAAAAATTAACGGCGAGATTGTAGAAAGGCCGCAGCATATGCTTATGCGTGTTGCTGTTGGCATTCATAAAGAAGACGTTGACGCAGCTATTCAGGTTTGAAAAGTTTCTTAGTCCTCTTTTTTTTCTGTTTCGGTTCCATAGATATTTTCATTTAGACTTATGACCTGATGTCAGAGAGGTGGTTTACTCACGCAACGCCAACTTTATTCAATAGTGGTACATGCAGACCACAGATGAGTTCGTGTTTCCTTTTAACTGTTGGAGATGACAGCGTTGAGGGGATATTTGAAATCTTGAAAAAATGTGCTTTGATTTCAAAAAATGCTGGTGGCATTGGCTTAAGCGTTCACAATGTTCGTGCAAAAGGCGCTCCAATAAGAGGGGTTGGTGGTTTATTCTTTTACATCCCTGTCTCGTCCACTTTTAAGAAAGTATTTTGATCCTCTTCTCACTCTTCCTGTTTTCTATCAGATTCTTTGCAGACCGGTCGTTGTTCACATGGTTTAGTGCCTTTGCTACAAATGTTCAATAACACTGCTAGATATGTTGATCAGGGCGGCAATAAAGTTTGTTCTCGCTTTTTCCTTTCCAAATAAACGTTCAATTTTTTGGCGGGGGATGCTTTTTATTGGCTACGTAAAGTTTGCTTAGTTGGCCGTACTTTGCAGAGACCTGGTGCGTTTGCTGTTTATTTGGAACCGTGGCATTCAGACATATTTGATTATCTGGAATTGAGAAAAAATGTGGGCAGTGAGGAAGAGCGAGCTAGGGATTTATTTTTTGCTTTATGGATTCCTGATTTGTTCATGCGGCGAGTTGAAAAGAACGAAATTTGGTCACTTATGTGCCCGTATGAATCTCAAGGTCTTCAGGATTGTTGGGGAGAAGAGTTTGAAAAGTTATATTCGAGGTGAGGAGAGAAAATGAATTATTTTATGTAAAAGGTATCCTGCGCTTTCTTAGTCCTGCTGCTTAGATACGAATCTGAGGGGCGGTATAAGAAGCAGATTGAAGCTCGAAAATTGTGGGAAGCAATCATTGTGGCCCAGATAGAGACAGGAATGCCTTTCATGGTCTATAAGGTGAGGAATTCTCTCTACATTTTTATTCTGGTGTGTGGAAACTCCTGTTTTTAGGACGCTTGCAACCGGAAGAGCAATCAGCAAAATCTTGGTACCATAAAATCATCAAACTTATGCACAGAAATTGTTGAATATTGCTCCGAAAATGAAATTGCTGTTTGCAATCTAGCTTCGGTCGCTCTCAATCGTTTTGTAACCTCAGACAGGAAGTTTGATTTTGACAAACTGCATGAGGTGAACTACTCTTATGTAATATTTAGCAATTATTTAAATGTCATTTTATATATTCAAGCTAAGTTCTGAAATTTTACTTCGCATAACAGTTTTAGGTGACGAAAGTGGTGACACGCAATTTAAACAAAGTCATAGATGCGAATTATTATCCAATCCCTGAAATGAAGGTTTCAAACATGCGTCATAGACCTATAGGAATTGGTGTACAAGGACTCGCTGATGCTTTCTTGCTCTTGAGGTACGATGGATCTCTATCGTACAGGCCACTGTACTACAGAATGTTTCTCAAAAACATGCATTTCCAGATACCCGTTCGCCAGTCAACAAGCTAGGGATTTAAACAGAAGGATCTTCGAGACATTATATCATGCGGCGTTGGAAGCATCTTGTGAAATTGCTGAACGTGACGGCCCTTATGAAACTTATAAGGGATCTCCGGCGAGTAAAGGGGTTTGTAACTGTTCTTGCTACAGATACCTCAGCAGTATGAAGCATAATTCGCATCTCATTAGTTTTGTTTGATTGCGTTGTTACTGCTTTCACTTCGTCTGTTTAAGGTTGGTGTTTTTCAGATCTTGCAATATGATTTTTGGAACGTAACGCCGACAGATCAATGGGATTGGAGTGCGCTGAAGGCTAAGATCGCCAGATATGGGTTACGCAACAGTCTTCTTCTTGCCCCTATGCCTACAGCTTCAACGGCACAGATCCTGGGTAATAACGAGAGTGTGGAACCGTACACGACTAACGTGTATACCCGTAATGTTCTGTCAGGGAACTTTCAGGTTATCATTCCATAGTCACATTTTAATTCTCCAGATCCAAAAAAGGTTTGCGCGTTTCCTGTAACAGAGTTCAAGTATTTGATGTTTCTTCTTTCTTCCCTTGGCAAAAGCAGTCAACCTTTCTCCACTAACCTGTTGATTTGCTTAAGATTTTTAATCCTCATCTCATGAAGGACCTCGTTGAACTTGGGCTCTGGGACGATGATATGAGGTTTGACATAATCTATAACAAGGGGTCTGTGCAGAACATCAAGAGGATTCCGCTTGAAGTACGAGAATTGTACAAAACTGTTTGGGAAATTTCTCAAAAGGTATTGGGAAACGAGATTGTGACGCTTACGTCTCGTTTGTCGTGTAATTTTCTAATCATAGCTGTTCAAGGTACTAATTGATATGGCAGCCGATCGGGGAGCGTTCATCGATCAATCACAGTCACTAAACATCTTTATTGCAAAACCCAGTTTGGCTAACATTACTAGTATGCACTTCTACGGTTGGAAGAAGGTTGTTTCTTTCTTTAATTTATTTGGCAGCAGCGAGTGTGCGCACACTTTGAAGGAACAGCAGAGATTCCATTTACATTATAAACGTTTAAGGGCTTGAAAACTGGTATGTATTATTTACGGACAAGGCCTGGCGTTGATGCTGTCCAGTTCACCGTGGATAAGAGCCGATTGAAGGAAAGGGAAGCCAGGGAACTTGCTGAGAAGATGCTCGAGTGTTCGCTGTCTAATCCGGAAACTTGCGCAATGTGTAGTGGCTGAAACCATCTTGATCACAAATGCTTGTGTACACTTCCTATGCCTGATTTGTCTTCATTTCACTTGCCGTCATAGCTCATTTTGCTGCTGATTCGGGTATCTTGCGAAGCAAACCCCTTTTTTTTTTTTTTTT